AGGATTTAAAAAAGGAGCAGAGAGAGCAGGAGGAGAACGGGGGTGGAGAGAAGAGGAGGATTGAGAAGGACAGAGAAGAGGAGGATGAGGAGAAGGGGGGGGGGACGTACAAGGGGAGGGGGTCTCGATGAGTGAAGACGGGACGAGATGTCTACTGAAGTGGGGGGGTGGGAGGCAGCCCGATAATTAGTGGGAACGGCCAGACCCTAATTTAATAATCGCGAGGAAGAGTGTGGCCGACTTCATTAATCCCGGAAACTTCAGCCTGTGTCGGGGGTGGTGGTGGTTGTTGTTGGTGGTGGTGGTTGTTGGTGGTTGTTGTTGTTGGTGGTGGTGGTGCCGTTTCTCTGCTGTCTCTCTCCTCTCTCTCTCGCGCCCGCTATTGATCTAAGAAGGCAACGGAAGCTCACGTTGCCAACGACCGCGTGGCCGCTTTGTGTGTGCACGCGCATTGTTCCACAAACATTTACACACACACATTACATACACACACACATTACACACACACATTACATACACACACACATTACATACACACATTACATACACACACACATTACATACACACATTACATACACACACATTACACACACACACATTACATACACACACATTACATACACGCATTACATACACACACATTACACACACACATTACATACACACATTACATACACACACATTACACACACACATTACATACACACACATTACATACACACACATTACATACACACACACATTACACACACACATTACGTACATACACACACACATTACACACACATTACATACACACATTACATACACACACATTACATACACACACATTACAGACACACACATTACATATACACATTACATAAACACACATTAATACACACACATTACATATACACACATATTACAAACACACATTACACACACACATTACATACACACACATTACACACACACACATTAAATACACACACACACTACATACACATTACATACACACACATTACATACACACACATTACATACATACACACACATTACATACACACACACATTACACATTAACACACTACATTACACACACACATTACATACACACACATTACATACACACACATTACATACACATTACACACACACACATTACATACACATTACACACACACACATTACATACACATTACACACATACACATTACATACACATTACACACACACACATTACACACACACACATTACATACACATTACACACATACACATTACACACACATTACATACACACACATTACATACACACATTACATACACACATTACACACACACATTACATACACACATACACTACATATACACATTACACACACACACATTACACACACACATTACATACACATTACACACATACACATTACACACACATTACATACACACACATTACATACACACATTACATACACACATTACACACACACACATTACATACACACATTACATACACATTACATACACACACACGTTACACACACATACATTACATACACACACACACATCACACACACACATTACATACACACACATTACATACACACACACATTACACACACACACATTACACACACACACATTGCATACACACACATTACATACACACACATTACATAGATCTACGTAGAGCGGTGGCTGCAGTGGTGAGGACACCGCGCGCTAGAAATTAGCGCTGAACGTTTAATCGATTTCGATTTGAAATCAATTAATTGTTCAGCCCTGCGAGGAATTGTATTCTCGCACCCAACGAAGTTGTTGCGCTGAGTTCGATTCCTGGCCACGGCACAGCATCGATGGCCAGTGATGTCTGCACAGATGTACCAGCCCCCCCCCCCCGCACTGACCAGCGTGGTGAAGTATGGTCATAGACCCCCACCGCACCCCAACAACCTACCTCCATGAACAACACGGCTTCGTGATGCCTTCATCCAGCAGTCGATCGACTCAGTAGATGACGGATGAGATGTCGATGTTACATCACACGCGCGCACAAATATAAAGGTCACCCGTATAGCCTCCGTAGACTGTTGGCACGAGAGTGCTGTTAGCGATGACCGATGTAAAGATATGTATTGGAATATACATTAAACGTATGCGTCCGTGCGTGTATCGCACATGCTTAAGCGGTTATACGTACCGACACACATGCACATCGTACGGACGTGCGTTCACGTACAAATATACCCCCGTATAGCCTAAAACCAGGTACTCGTTTAAGGCTGAGTCGACCTAGAGGAGGCCCAGGTGCAGTTTAAACACAGGCTGTTGATGAAGAATCTATATCGATACATACACTCACGTATACGCATGAACGTACATACACACACGTAAGTATATATACACACACTTGCGCACACGTACACACACAAACACACAAAGTATACAAACACACGTACACACAAAGACAAAGATCCCCCGTGTAGCTTTTACAGACTGTTGGGGCAAGTGCTGTTAGCGAGAAGCACCTATGAAGACCGACACGCAAACACACAGACACACACGAACACGCAACCATTCACAAGACAATTCCTCGCAGGGCTGAACGATTAATCGATTTCAAATCGAAATCGATTAAACGTTCAGCCCTAATTCCTAGCGCGCGCTGCCCTCACCACTGCAGCCACAGCTCCACGTAGATCTATGTAACGTGTGTGTATGTAATGTGTGTGTATGTAATGTGTGTGTATGTAATGTGTGTGTGTATGTAATGTGTGTATGTAATGTGTGTGTATGTAATGTGTGTGTGTGTGTATGTAATGTGTGTGTGTATGTAATGTGTGTATGTAATGTGTGTGTATGTAATGTGTGTATGTAATGTGTGTATATAATGTGTGTGTATGTAATGTGTGTGTATGTAATGTGTGTGTATGTAATGTGTGTGTATGTAATGTGTGTGTATGTAATGTGTGTGTGTGTATGTAATGTCGCAGTTACCAACTACAACGCACGTATTTATGTACACGCGCACACCAACAATGCAACGCGGTACACAACACGCTCCGTATACTTCCTGCAGCAATTAGTAACGCGCGCGTGTGTGTATATATATAAAGCCACTGTGTTGATATTGATGCTCATTGTAAGCCGACACAAATGCATTCTGATGTCATTGCCATTGACAGACACGCACGGTGCCTACCGTCGTCACACGTGTAACGATGCAATGAACATATCAATGCAATGGCGCACGTGGCGTGCCACGCACGTAGAGCACGTGGGGAGCGGTGGTGCAACGCTTGGCGCGCCGCGGCTACGAACCATGGCCACCAGAGTTCGATTCCCGTCACCGCCCACGGCCAACACCGCTGAACGGGTCCCGGACCTCCCACCAAGGTCGACTCAGCCTCAAACGAGAACGCTGGTGCGATGTGCAAACATCGGCACTGGGGAGACAAAGGCGGCCGGGCGTGGTGCTGGCCACCCACCCCCTCGTGTGCCCTGCCGGCCTTCGTAGATGCTCGCCAACGGCACTAGCCCCAACAGTCTGTTAAGGCTACACGGGGGTGGGGGGGGGGGTCTTTGTCGTTGTATTATACAATGTTCTTCATGAGTGATCGTTCACAACACACACCCCAACTATCCGTTAGAGGCTACGCGGAGTAGCTTTGTCCCTCTTAATGAAATGTCCGAGACAAAGACGTCGGCGCAGATCGACGGGATGCTGAGAGGTAGTCACGGCGAAAGATTTCAACCGGACAGAAACATCGCCAGACACGCGCACAACACGAGTCGAGCAGAGGTGCACGAATCCGTGCTAACAGACGGATGCACGCCAAGACAAATGCACAGATGCACACGCGCATACACACACGTGCAATGATTTTTTAGCGGGCACGCGGTGTTTGCGAGCACCTATTGAAGATACCCCAGTCTCGCAGACACTCACATACACACAGAGGCAAAGAAAGAATTCCCCGTGTCGCCTTAAGTGACTTGGAGCAAGTACTGTTAGCGAGCACGTACCCATACAGACAAATACACCATCACATGCACAAAGAGACACACACACACTATCACACAGACTCACAAAAACGCACACATACACACGCGGTCATTCACAACGAACAACACATTGGCGGACACGAAACAATCACACAGAGCCACGCACAGACACACGCGTAGAGACAATCACACACCACACACGCACGCACGCGCGGACGATTCGTAACATATGTGTATCATAGGATGCAAGACACAAAGATCTAACGTCAACTGTAGGGGCAAGTGCTGCTTGCGAGCACATATGAAGGCTGGAACGGCACACGAGGGGGTGGGTGGCCAACACCACGCCCGGCCGCCTTTGTCTTCTTTGCCTCTCTCCAGCGCTGATTTTTGTTTTACACCGCACTAAGTTACTGAGCATTTAAGGCTGAGTCGGCATAGAGGAGTCCCGGGACCGACGCAGGTATTCGCCACCGATATTAGCCGTGATCGGGGAACCGAACTCGGGTCGCCGGGTTCGTAGGCCAGCGCGCTAACCGCTGCGCCATCGCTCCCACACATGCCGTGTGTGTATACGTACACGCGTGCAAGCACCCTCAATAATATCGTTGGCTGAATTGTTAGAGATGTTAGAGATGTCTTTCCTAGCGAGGAAGCAGCTTTGGGGCAGTTCGCCCCGACGTGTCGGTGGTTGTGTCGGTGGTGGTGGTGGTGGCGGTGGTTGTGGTTGGGTCTGCGTTGACATTCGGCACAAAGTGAGAGCGCACAGTTTTTAGAAGCTTCGGGTCCACTCCCTCCCCTCTACTCCTCCTCCTCTCACTCTCCTCCCTCCCCTACTGCCTCCCACCTACCCACCCATCCACCCACCCACCCACTCTCCCTTCTCACCCACCCACCCACCCCATGATCCACTCTTCTCCCCCCCACCCCTCATCTCTTCTCCACACACACACACACACGCGCACACACAAAGTGACTGACACACGCGCGCACACACAAAGTGACTGACACACGCGCGCGCACACAATTGCGCGCGCGCGCGCGCGGTCGCTCATGCACCCACAGAGAGAGACACACACACAGCTACCACCACCACTACCATCACCACCACCATCAACCCAACCCCTCTACCCCAACACACACCCCGCCCCCCGAGAAAAACTCTCCCATCGACTCGAGCTCCCCCCCCCCTCCTCCTCCTCCCCTTCTCGTACCCGCTCGCCGCCGCCGTTGCCTCCGCCGACAGCCGCCACCGCAGACCCGAGTCGGCGTGTGTGCGTGATGGCTCACCATCCCCAAGGTTATCTGTACCAGCCCTCGTCCGCATCGCTCGCCCTCTACTCGTGCCCGGCGTACGGGGCCCCCACGTTGCTGGGAGGCGCTCGCTCCGAGGAATTGGGTCGATCCGGTGCCGGATCGGCGTTCAGCCCCTACCCGGCGTCGGCCGCCTTCGCGACTGCAGCCGCGGCCGCAGCGACACCTCACGCCTATAGCCCGCTACAGTACACGGCTGAGCACGCAGCCTTCCCGGGATACGTGGTAAGTGTGCAGTCGAAAGCCTTGACCATACTTGACCACCATCGCTACCCCCCCCCCCACCACAACACAACACCCACCACCCCCCCACCCTGTCCTCACTCTCCATCCCGCTATGCGTAGCGCTGTGTTGGAGTTAGCGCGCGCGCGTGTGAGTGAGTAAGAGAGAGTTGGAGCGCGTTGATGTGAGTGAGTTTTTTTGGAGGAGGGGGGGGGAGAAGAGTACGGCACGGATCCGCCTGTGCGCGTTTGGGTGTTGCTGTAGGGCAGTTGCGTTGTTCACTCTGTCTGTGTTGTGATCGATTGTGCGTTGTGTTTGTCACGCTTCTGTGATGGTGTTGGTGGTGATGATGTTGGTGTGATTGTGTTACTTTTGCCGAGTGTGCGTGGGCTTTGCATCGCTGGGTGAGACGGGCGAATATCAATTCCTCCTCCACTGGGGAGACGTCGCCTCTTCTTCGCCTTGTTGGCGCAGAACGGTTGAACGCTATGGGGTGGATGCACAAGCATCCTCTCTCGTACGTAAAAGTTAGTGTGTGTGTGTGTGCGCGTCCGTGTGTGAGTGTGTCTGTGTGTAGGTCGACTCGAATGAGTACATGGTGCGGTGTGTACGCATCGCCGCTAGGGAGACAAAGGCGGCCAGGCGTGGTGCTGGCCACCCGCTACCCACGTGTGCCAAAGTGGAGGCTTTCATGGGTGCTCGCTGACAGCACTTGCCCCAACAGTCTGTCGAAGGCTATACGGGGGATCTTTGTCTTTGTGTCCGTGCGTGAATAAGCGCTAGAGGTAATAGTTAAGCCGTGGCTTATTCAGTAATGAAGTGATTAAATCATCACAGTATCCATGAGTTGTGTGCAAACGTGTGCTTTTGTGTATATCCGTGCTCGAGATTGTGTACAAACATGTGAAAGTATGCATATGTGTGTGTGTTGTGTGTGTGCATATGTGTTCCTGTATGTGTGTGCGTGGTTGTGTGTGTGTGTGCGTGTGCAAATGTGTCCTTCTATGTGTGTATACGAGAGTGTGTGTTTATACGCGCTATTGTACGTGTGCTTACGAGAGAGAAAGTGTGTGTGTGTGCAAACGTGTTATTGTATGCGTGGATACGAGTGTGTGTGTGGTGTACACACGTTTATTGTACACGTGCGCATGAGTGCGTGTGTGTGTGTGTGAGAACGTCTTTTGTATATCTATTTGTGTGTGTGTGTGTTTGTATATCTATAAATGTGTGTTTGTATATATATAAATGTGTGTGTTGAGGGATGGTCGCATGGCGGTTAGCGCACTCCGTTACGAACCCGGTGGCCCCAGTTCAATTCCCGCTCACGGCAAACAGCGACGATTATCTGAACCGGTCTTGGGTCTCCTCTAGGTCGACTCAGCCTCAAATGAGAACATGGTGCGGTGTGGAAAAACATCGCCACTGGGGAGACAAAAGTGGCTGGGCGTGGTGGCCACTCACCCCCCCCGTCTGCCGTTCCGGCCTTCATAAGTGCTCGCTAACAGCACTTGCCCCAACAGTCCCTTAAGGCTATAGGGGGATCTTTGTGTTTGTATATGTATGTGAGAAGGTGGTATATGTGTGTGTGTGAACGGATCCAAATGTTACGTGTAATGCATTTAGACAAATACGCATGTGCGTGTGCCTGTGCACATGCTAATCTGCGCGTGCGTGTGTCGTGATGTTCATACGAACGGAGTGTGTGCGCGCGCGCACGCGTTATAGTACACGAGTGTGTGAGTGTCTTTGTGCACCAAGCATGGCACAAGCCGTCGTGGTGACGTCCCCGCCACTTAGTGGCGAACGATGGTTGTTGTTGTGTGATAGATTCACGTGTGTATACATATATATATGTGTGTGTGATAGATTGTGTGAGGAGCGGTTGCGTAGTGATTAGCGCACTGCGCTACGATACCCAGAGATCGACCTGATTTCGATTCGCGCTCACAGCCAACACCAGTGACGATTATCTGAACCGGTCCTGGGCCTCAAATGAGTACCTGGTGCGGTGTGTAAACATCGCCACCAGGAAGACAAAGGCGGTCGGGTGTGGTCTTGGCAACCCCACCCCTTCGTATGACGTCCCGACATCCATAGGTGCTCGCTAACAGCACTTGACCCAACAGTCTGTTGAGGCTACACGGGGAGATCTGTGCGTCTCTGTGTGTGTGTGTACGCGTGTGTTCCAAAATGTTTGCGTGGGTAAATGCACGTTGATTAGCACGTGTGTGTGAGTATACACACACACACACGTGTACACACACACGTGTGTGTGTGAGTATACATACACACGTGTGTGTGCGTGTACGCATATATGTGATGTACTTGCGTGTGTACGTATGCGTCAATGTGCATTCGCAAACTAGTCCAGATACACCGCAGTTCGCGCTCATACGCTAACATTCGTGAATTGGCTCTCGCTCAATGTTGTATATTTACAAAGACAAAGATCCCCCGTATAGCCTTCGACAGACTGTTGGGGCAAGTGCTGTTAGCGAGCACCTATTGAAGGCCGGCACGGCACATGAGAGGGTGGGTGGCCAAGACCACGCCCGGCCGCCTTTGTCTCCCTAGTGGCAATGTTTTTTTTTCGCGCATGCATAAACACACGTAACATACATAAAAAAAAACATACACACAGACGTAAACGCACGTACACCCACATACGCACGCATACGCACTACGCATATCTATACATATATACTTACATAGAGACAAAGATTCCCCGTATAGCCGACACAAGCCGTTCGGACAAGTGCTGTTAGCGAGAACCTATTAAGGTTCCGGCTCCGTGTTTCCATACACACATTCGCGTGTACAAACACGCACGCAGACATACACACAAATATAAACACTCGCACATACGCACATACATTCACACGCGCATACGTACACATTTAAACATACACACAAACACACGTACACCCACGAAAATATACACACACGCGTAAGCACGTACACACACACGCACTGCACACACAAACGTACACACATGTACACATACATACGCACATATGACATACACGTGTACGCACGTATTTAGAACACACGCATACACACGCGCACACATAACACACACATACGTATACACATAACCACAAAGGCAAAGATCCCCCGTATAGCCTTCACAGACTGTTGGGGCAAGTGCTGTTAGCGAGCACCTATGAAGGCCGGCACGGCACACGAGGGGGTGGGTGGCAAGCACCACGCCCGGCCGCCTTTGTCTTCCAAGTGGCGATGTTTACACACCGCACCGGGTACTCATTTGAGGCTGAGTCGACCTACACACATAAACACATACAGACACAGACACATACAGACACATACATAATTGTCCACGGTATGTTCACGCATAATTATTGCATTCAGACAACATGCATCTCAAACACACACGCGCGCAAATACCCATTCATCATCATCATCAGCTATGCGCGATCCACTGCTGGATGAACCCTACGTCAGCATTTATGGTTGTGCAAATAGCTTTAAATAGTCAACACATTAATTAAGACCCTGTGTTAATTAATCAATCAAGCCACCATTCTAGGTCGTTTTTTTTTGTAATATGGAGAGAAGGACGGGAGCGGTGGCGCTGCGGTTAGCGCACCTAAACTCTACCCCCCCCCCCCCCCCTGAGTTCGATTCCCCGACCACGGCTAACGTCAGTGGCGAATGAGGGATCGATATTAATCAGCCATAGCCCGCAGTGACCGGCGCGGTGAAGTATGGTCAAAATAACCCTCGTCATCGACATGGCGTGGGATAGAGAAACCTTTCATTCTGTGGGGCAGTGGATGTACCAAGCCCTGCAAATCATCTTCATCATCATCATTATATCATTATGATATTAATTGCTCTGGAATCGGCAGTCGCGTGTTTATTGTTATGATAGTGTAACGAAAATATAATAACGTTGACACAATTGTGTTGTTCTAAATATTCTGTCGAAAGGCTAGATAACCACACTTGTAGCTACAGCAGTTAATTATTGATTACGCCTGCACGGCTATTTAGATAGAGCTGTTAAATTGACAGTGTTATTTTAAACACGCTTAAATGACTTTCTGTCTGTGTGTGTGTCTGTTTGGAGCGGTGGTGTAGCGGTTAGCGCGCTGCACTATGAACCCGGCGACCCAAGTTCGATTCCCGCTCACGGCCAACACCGGTGACGATTATCTGATCCAGTCCTGGGCCTCCCCTAGGTCGACACAGCCTCAAATGAGTACCTGGTGTGTAAACATCGCCAATAGGGAAACAAAGGCGGTCGGGCGTGGTGCTGGCCACCCATCTGGCCTTTAAAGGTGTTCGCTGACAGCACTTGCCCCAACAGTCTGTTAAGGCTATACGGGGGATCTTTGTCTTTGTGTTGCTTGTGTACGCGTGGTGTGTGTCTGGGGATCGGTGGCGCAATGCAATTCAGAGCAACCCGGGTTCGATTCCCCGCTCCACACAACAACAAAAGTGGGCCTCCCCCATCGCCTAGGTCGACTCGGACTTAAAAGTGATAGCTTGTGCAGCGAGTGTGATCGCGAAGAGCACTTGCCTCAACAGTGTGTTGAGGCTATACGGGAGATCTTTGCCTTTGTGACCTTAATAGGTGCTCGCGAGAAGCAAGTGACCCAATCCCGCGTGTGTTGTTGTATATTTGCGTGTAAATGTGCGTGTGTATATACTGAGGAGCGGTGGCGCAATGGTTAGCACGCTGCGATCCCTACCCGGCCGTCTGAATTCTATTACAGGCCACGAGCGATCTCTAGGACCGTTACTGTGCTAGCACTAGGTCGACTCAGCCTTAAACGAGCGCTTGGTGTTAACATCGTCGTGATCACTAGCACCGCGGGCGTGGTGATGGCCACCCACCCACCCCCTCGTGTGCCGTGCCGGCCTTCATAGGTGCTGCTCGCTAACAGCACTTGCCCCAACAGTCTGTTAAGGCTACACGGGGGATCTTTGTCTTTGTGTGAGTACGTAGGTGTGGTCACTGTAGAGCAGCGGTTCGCGC